TGTTGATTGATCAACTGGTTGTTATGGCCCATAGGCCCTTCCAGGGTGGTTGCTATGCTCTCTATGTCATTGTCGTGCGCTTGTCCGGAAAGCACACCCAGGGTCGTAAAGAATAGCGCAACCAGCTAACTTCCGATTGGCTCCTTGTCATGAGACAGGCATCTGACTTTCTAGTGACTAACTTCTGATGGGTTCCTTGTCACGAGACAGGCATCTGACCTCTACGTGACCAAGGCAGGTTTATGGCAAGCATGTGTTCGGCTGTAATGGCTGCCAAAAGGGAGCTGGTTCCTTCAACATGACAAGAGTTGTGTTTTCTGGGTGGAAATTGCCAGAATACTTATTTTTAAATTAACTGGAACTTGCCACATTGTTCTGCAGAATGGTTATAAAAATCAGTAGTACTCTTGGGGCTGGTGAAGAAGCTCAATGTCCTGAGTTCGATCCCCAGAAACCACAGTTGAAAGGAAGAACTGATGCAATAAAGTTGACCTCTAATCTCCATGTCCATGCTGTGGTGTGCCTCAATGTACACTCAGTAATAATAATAATAAAATAATAATAGTAGTAGTAGAATAATCCTTCCACAATGCCTGAGACTTTCTCTTCATCCATATTTCTTACTCTGATTAACACAGGCTGCAGAAGTACCATTCAGTTTTTTCTGTTGATTAGGTCTAAAGCTGTATGACATCCCCCCTTCCCTATCTTTAAATACTGATATAATCAAGCATCATTTTTCCTTTTTATTTCTCTTTCATGTATGACTTCTTCACTTATTTTAGCCCTTTTCACTTGCATTGTCTTCTTCAGGATTGCCAAGAGTGGTTCCATTGCTTTCTTGCCACTGATTTCTGTGTACAGACTTTTCTAAATAAAACCTCAAGTCATGAAAATACCCTCCTCTTCCTAGTCCATGGCCAAAAATCAAAACCAAAAACAAACAAACAAAAGTATTGGGTTAATGTTTATTTTTTCCAGTTTTATATTTTGGCAAAATCAAGCTTAGTAATATCTTTTCCTAGGATTCATGCTTATTGCAACTTTTTTGTTTGGCTGGTTTTTTGAGATAGGGTTTCTCTGTGTGGCCCTTGATGTCCTGCAACTCACTCTGTAGACCAGGCCGACCTCAAACTCCCAGAGATCTGCCTACCTCTGCCTCCTGATTTATGGGATTAAAAGTGTGTGCTGCTACCACCCAGTTTACTGTAGCTTTTTAATAGTAAAGTCATAAAGTTATTCTGCATTTTCCTCCCAGGTTTGGAAATTTTTTTCTAACTTGATCATCAATCTATATGGAATTGGTATTTGTGAGGGGCATTTAGAGATACCTAATGTCATCCTATATCATGGGTATTTTTCTCAGCGCAGTTCTTGAAGAAGTCACCCTGTCCTATATGCTACATGAACCACTTTGCTAAGTTTCCTGCTCATCTGTCTGCTCCCCATCTCAGTACCCTTGTTACAATTACTCCAACTTTACAGTGAATCCTCAGGTTAGGGGATTTTTATTTGCTCTTTGTTGGCTTGTAGGGGGACTCTTCCCGTTCCAGTGTGACTTTCAGGACAACCTGTATAATTCTGTGAAATATGCTATTAAGAGTTTATCAGCATCATCTCTTCTTTTTTTATTTTAAAAAAATTTTCACTTAACACAGCAACCCCATTCCCCCTCCCCTTCTCTCTTCCGCCACTCCTCCCATCCCAACCCCTATCCATTCCTCAGAGGGGGTAAGTCCTTTTAGGGAGAGTCAACAAAGTCTGGCAAACCACGTTGAGGCAGGACCAAGCCCTTCCCCCTGTATCAAGGGTGAGCAAGGTGACCCACCATACGGAGTAGGCTCCAAAAACCCAGTTCATGCACCTGGGATTGGTCCTGGTCCCCTACCAGGGGTCCACAAACAGATCAAGCCACCCCACTATCGCCCATTTTCAGAGGGCCTAGTTCTGTCCCATGAAGGTTCCCCAGCTGTCAGTTCACAGTTTATGAGCTCCCACTAGCTCAGGTCAGCTGTCTCTATGGTTTTCCCATCATGATGCTGACCGCCCCCTTATACAAGACAGCTTTTTTTTTTTTTTAAAATGAAAATAATTTTTTACTTACCTTTTATACTTTTTGGTTAATATTTTAGTTTTTGTTCCTTTTGAAAATTTTTATACATTTTATTAAGATGTAATTACATCACGTTCCCCTTCTCTTTCCTGCTCCCAGCCCCTCTGGAGATGATCTGATGTCCTCTTCTGGCCTCTGTAGATACCTGCACACATTTGTGCACACACAGAGATTAGGAAAGCATAGAAATTATCTAAGTGTAAAAAAAAATAAAAGTAAGGTAATAGAGGACATGCAGAGCAGAGATGAGCACCACAGCAAAGGGAATAGGAACAGAGAATAGTTCCTAGAATATTTTTTGAGACCAGATGACATGTGTTCCAGGTTGGCCTTGAACTCACTCTTTATGGAAGAATGACATTGAATTTCTGGTCTTCCTGCATCTGCCTCCTGAGTGCTGGGATTACAGGTGTGCGTTCCCATTCCTGGTTTATGGGCTTCTTGAATACCAGGCAAGCGCTCCATCCCCAGCCCTGGTTCCTAAGGTTTTTGTTTGTTTGTTTGTTTTGGTTGTTTTCGATAGCTCTATCCTTAGTCCTGTCATTGGTGAGGGAACAGAGTAAAAACAAGCCAGAGATGAAATCTAGCATGTGCACCTGATGGAATATGAAGAAGCACAATTACAGGTGTTCAGCTGTGCATTGGCACTGATGCTGTTACAAGTCCAAGTTGGTTACCAGACTCACAGGGCAAGTAGGCTGCAATCTAATTCTGTTGACTGTAGAAAAATACAAGATCAAAGGCAAGCAGGGCAGAAGCTTTCACTGGGATGCCAACAATCGACCAAGCACACAGGTTCTCCCCCCTCCACAGTACAATACAGTCATATAGACTGTGTTGACACAGTATATGGGTGTTAGCTCAACACAGAGAAACATACTTGAATCCCAGTTCATCTTCCCATCACTCTAGTCATGTACACCCAAGGCTTGAAAGCCACCTCAGTGTTTCCCATCCCAGTACAGTCCTCTTCATCTAATGAAGTAGACACAGCTTCCCATGGTCATCCTAATACTCTCATTATCAAAATTTAGTGGTGGACATTGTCAGACAAGTTGGCCTCAGTCCTGGCCTGGTCTTACCTTTCACTTACAAACATGTGTGTGAAATGCACCCTAGTGGTGTAAGTCGCAGACAGAAATCTGAGTTAGCCAGAATTTGTATTTCTGTAAACTACCTGTGATCGATGAGATTTATTTTGGCTCATGGTTTCCAGAGGGTTCAGTCTGTGGTACTTGCCTCAGTTGACTCTGTGGGTGAGGCAGAGCATCAAGTGGCAGACTACTTACCTCCTTCCCTCAGGAGAGAGAGAGAGAGAGAGAGAGAGAGAGAGAGAGAGAGAGTATGCTTTAAAGGAATGTCCCTAGTGACTTACATCCTCTAGACCCCACCCCCTGAGATGTCTATCATTTTCTGAAATGACACCACACCACCTGCTGGGAACCAAGTATTCCACACAGGTGTGAAGGGGAAGGGGCACATTTCATATCCAAACCACAACAAAACCCATGTTTGGGGTTAAGAGATTTGTTGCATTATTCAGAAGCTATGTGACTTTGACAAATGAAATAAGGCCTCTGAGGGCTAATGTCATCTTTAGGGCAGCATTATGTATCCACAGTATAGGGACCCTGTAACTATCAGGCACCTTATAGACACTAGGTTCTCAATAAGTCTTCCGTTCCTGTGTTCCTGCCCTTGAGAGAATAGAAGACCTGAGGTCAGCTATGGAGTAAGAGCTGAAATTCAGGAAGTCACCCAGCCTCTTGAGGATGAAGCAGAGGTTCTTCATACTCCTTCCTGTCTGTGTGCATAGAGGGAGTAGACAGGGACTGACTGGGGTTTTTATTTCTCCATCCCCCAAATCATCCAAATAGTTAACTTCTTTTTCAAAAACAAAACAACAAACAAATGAAAACCAGGCAAACACACAGATTCTAACCCAGCAAGAAGCTTTGAACTGGAAATTAAAATGCCTTACTGTCTGCACTTGTTTCAGATGACTGATCACTAGTCTGTTGTTCAGCTCAGATACAGAGAACCCGTGGTTGATAAATAACTCTGGTCTCATTTAGGAACTGATGAGAAAACCCTCATCAGCATTCTGACGGAGCGGTCAAATGCACAGCGGCAGCTGATTGTCCAGGAATATCAAGCCAAGTATGAACAGGTACTGCCCGTGAGCACTACAGGCCCTGAAGAGACAATCACCATGTCTCGGTGTGTCCTCTGTGGTCCACTCACACATAGATCTTTGGTTTCAGACTGATTGTGGCAGAAGATGCCCTGTGCATCACTCAAGAACAGAGACTCTCAGTCCTGGTTTTGCATCTCACCATCTCAATGGTGACTTTGGGGCTTCTGTTTCATCACTGTAGAGTGAAGAATGTTGCCTTTAACCTGTGGGTCAAAGGGTCAAATGACCATTTCACAGGGGTCATATAGGAAATATTCTGCACATCACATATTTATATTAAGATTCATGGAAGACCCAAAATTACAGTTATGAAGTAGAAATGAAAAAAATACTATGGTTGGGGGTCACCACACCATGAGGAACTGTGTTTAAGGCTTGAAGCACTAGGAAGGTTGAGAGTGACTCTCTAGAGCAATGTTTCCAAGTCAGCAATGAATCCCCTTCCCTCAAGACACTTGGCATAAAGGGAAATTTACTTTTTTTTTTTGAGATAGGGTCTCATGTAGCATGAGTTTACTCTCACTAGCCTGGAGTTTACAAAGTAGATGGATATTATCTTGACTTCTGATCCTCCTGTGTTCAACTCTCAAGTGTTGGGATTACAGTCGGGAGTCACTAGGCCTGGGTTATATAGTACTGGGGAATCAAAGCCAGGTCTTCGTGAGTGCTAGGCAAGTACTCTACCATCTGAGACACATCCCCAGCCCGATTAGGCACATTCTCATGACCCCATGTCAGACTCAGGGTGGAGGGTGATTCTAACTACCTGAGGCTAGAGATACCATTAAGGGTATATAGTATGGAGGACAGCTCTCCCAGCAAAGAAATACCTGAACAGCTATCTGGCAAAAGACTGCCTTTAATTAAAGATAATCTTTAATTTCTGTTTTAATTTTAAAAGTTATGTAAGTATAGGCTCGGTAAATTCAGCAGATGGAAACCCACAAGTATCCAAAAATAAATACATAAGAACAAGATGATCACAGGTTTTGTTTGTCATCTATCTGTTGAGTAGCACTCTGTGGAGAGATTCACAGGTAGGAGAGGCAGCTCCTCCCTTCTCTTGTGGAGCTGGCATCCCGTCAGAAACATAATAAGTAAATAAGTTCAGTTATTGGCAAGTGTGATAAAGATGAATGGGATGACGTGATGGAGGGTAACTGGTGACTGGCTCCCTTAACAGGGTGAGGAAGCTATGTCAGCAGGCTGCTGTTGCCTGGGTGACAGCTAGGACCGCCAGTGCTTCGTTCTGACCTGCTCAATATACAGATGAGTACTTCAGGCAGAGGGGAGAACAAACGGAAAGGTCCTGGCCAGGAGTGGCTGGGAAGGTGGGAGAGACAGAACTCTGAACCCCAATATAGCAGGGTGTGGAGCTAGTGGCATAAATGGGGATAACTTTGTAACACAGGAGCTTTTGAAAGATTTTCAGGTGCTACTATGTTTTTCAGGCTAGTTCACATGACCATCTCACCTTAGGGGACTAGGAACATATAGGTGTGCATCACCATGCCTGACTACTAAACATTTCTATTTGTGGATTTTGAGATGGAATTTTGCTATGTTGCCAGTCTGGTCTTGAGCACCTGTATTCAAACAATCCTCCCACCTCAGCATCGTTCCTACCCAAGGCTGAGACCACAGATGCATGCCACGGGGCTTTGCTTTATCGCTAAGAGTCGGTGCATAGTCTTGATTTTATTCTAGAGTGGGGAGCCGTTGGAAGTATGTAAGCAGGGGAATAATATAAACAGATTTTTAGTCTTAAAAGATTGTTTCGGGACCTGAAGTTTTAGTTTAATGGTAGAGCACTTGCCGGCATTTCTGAGGCTCTGTGGTCCACCCCCACAATTACAAAGATGATGGAAAGATTATTCTGGGTGCTGTGGGTCATGAGTATGGAAAGGAAGGAGTACAAACACAGAGAAGCCAGGCTGTTGACCAACAGAGTCAACTTAGGCATCACCTGAGTGTGTTCTCCAGTCCCCCAGGCATTAAAAATCCTTTCTCAGACACTCTTTGTCACACACTCAACATTCAATACAATGAAATTGAATTTCATCAAATGCTTTTATTTTCCTATTAGGGTGAGCATCTTAGGCATACACATTATATCACGGCTTCCTTTAAATGTCTAGCATTGATTAGGCACCCTTGAGAATGTATTGAAATGAATGAACCGCCAAGCATCTGGGCAAAAAGCCCTCATAAAGGTAGGTGACATGGATGGTCCATTGGCTTTTCAGAGCACTGTAAAATGTGGAGGAAGAATCAACCGAGGCAATGGGCAACAACCATTTCTCATTGCATGATGCAATGAGAGTGTGTGGAATAAGATTTGTTTGCCACTGGGTTGAGGACAGATGGTATCAGAATTTAGCATTTAAAGAGGAAAACACAGTGCTGCAGTTAAAGCAGATGGGTGATACTTGGCTCCATCTCATGACCCCACTGTCTCCCTGGTCAGAGCTGCCTGAGAGACTGCCAGCTACCAGGCCTGAAAATAAAACTGTTCCATGTCACTCCTATGAATATTGGAAATATAAACCATGCCCCTGCCCTTAGGTGGGAGAATCAAACTTCTTATGTAATGTGTGGCAACAGTGCCAAAGGACACTAGAGTCCTGCTTGGAATGTCCCAGGGTCTCAGGGACAGTTTACCAGAGAGACCCCTCTACCTTTCACCCTTCCCTTCCTTTAGAGAGCACCAGGGACCTAGGAAATGCCTTCATTTTATTTTTCCTAGTTATTAGTTATTATTTTAATCATGCATATTTATGAGTATGGTGAGGTCATTTGGTACATGTGTAGAATGTGTAATGTACCTAGAGGAATAGCATTTTAATGTATAGCACAAAACTCTAGTGCACTTGTCAACCTTCCTTTGGGCTTTGCAAAGATCTGCATAAGACAGAGCATTGTGGAAACATCAGAAAATGAAGATTAATGTCCACTGAGATATTCTTAGCATCCCTGCTATTCCCTGTGGATGGGCATGCTTTCTCTTGATTTTTATACTTGGGTTTTCTTTTCCCTGGGTGGCTGTCGAGAAAGAGAAAAGAAACATATCTCATGATTTCCTCCTTGGGGTTTTTAATTTAGGAGCTGAAAGACGACTTGAAGGGTGATCTCTCTGGCCACTTTGAGCATATCATGGTGGCTCTTGTGACTGCACCAGCCCTGTTTGATGCAAAGCAACTAAAGAAGTCTATGAAGGTACAAGCCCTAAACAGACTGCCGCTGCCCAGGTTTCACTGTTATCATAATTAGGGAACACTTGGGGCACTCACCTGAGATGTGGTGGGCTTGGATGCCATTTTTGATTGTGTTCTTTAAAAGGTGGGGTGATTATGGGAAGTTCTGTGCATCCCTGGGCCCTAATGGCTCTGTGCTGCAACGATAGTCACATTCTCTTTCTTTTCCTTCCTTCTTTTCTTCCTTCCTTCCTCCCTTCCTTCCTTCCTTCCTTTCTTCCTCTCACTCTCTCTCTCGCTAAATATTCAGTTTCTCTTTTTCTTTCATCAAAGATAAATACTGCCATCCATCCATTACTTAGTCCCCATGTTTTTTTTTTGTTGTTGTTGTTGTTTTGTTTTTTGTTTTTTTGTTTTTTTTTTAGCCCCGTGCTTTCCTTTACCCTCGGGACCCCCAGACCTTTCACCAAGTCCACTAGCGCCCTGCTGTAAAGTCTCCTGCAGCAAGCCCATCTCAGATAGCAGCAGCATAGAAGCCGCTATCTCCCTCCACAGCTTCCACTCTGCTGTAGCCACCTGCGCCCCTTGGCTATACTGCATCAGTACCCTAAGCAGGTCTCTTCAGCTCCATTTCCACCCATTTGAAAGTATTCTCTAACGGTGTGCAAAATTACTTCTATAAAGATGTTTTAAAGCAAGTGGATGTAATTCGTCTCCCTAAATCTCCAGTGAACACTTAAAACCCAGATGCCTTATGACCTTCCTCACCCAAGTCTGCCTCATGCCTGCCTGTGATTCTTTTAAATACCCTGGCAGGCAGCATTCCTCAGAGAAATAGAGCCATTAGGCAGAACATTTATATTAAGAAAATTACTGTAAGGCACTGAGTATACCTTGTGAGTCTGGATGGTAAAGACCAGAGTCTGCAGGGAAGGTTGTCAGGGAAGGCCGGAGCCCTCATCAGTCTCTGAAGCTGCTGCCCACAGGTACAGCCACTTCTTCAACGAGGTCTTAGCTTGCCCATAAGGCCTTTTAGCAGAATGAATCAGGCTTAGTCAGAATGCAGAGTGTCTGAAGTGTGTCCCATGTAAAAACAAATGGTAATGGACTTTATTCCTAAAATACCTCCATAGCAGCAAACAGATTAGCATCTGTCTGGGTAACCAGGGACTGTAGCCTGACCATGCTGGCACATAAAACTGGCCATCACACCCCTTTCTATCCCCACTCATGGCACTTGCTTCACTGGTCTTGCAAGCATCCATGTTTGGGAGTTCTGATCCATGGTGTTCCATCTGGAGTCCTTCTTCTCGGATAGTTCGTATTAATTTACTCAATTTTATTGTTATTGTCTTTTGATTAACTTTCATTTGTGCTTACTTTATGCTCAGGTTATCCCCATGCCAGAAGTCTTGGGTTGGGTTTTTTGTTTGTTTGTTTTTTGTTTTTGTTTTTGGTGGTAGTGGTTTTTCTTTTGTTCTTTGAGACAGGGTGTCACTGTGTAACAATCCTGACTATCCTGGAACTCACTCTGTAGAATAGGCTGTCCTCAAACTCACAGAGCTCCACCCGCCTCTGCCTTCTAAGTGCTGGGATTAAAGGCGTGCGTCACTACCCAGCCTTGTTTTGTTTTTCTGAGACACCTTTATCTTCTGTGCTGCCTCCTCTTCTGGTGTAGGAACAGTTTAGTTCATTTTCAGTGAGGATCATCTCCATGCAGGTAGCTCACGTAGAAGATAACCTGACCCTATGAACTCGGAGAGTACAGGGAATCTGGGTGGTTTATATGTTGAATGGTCAGAGAAGCAACACTTACAATCTGAATCTCAGTATACAATCTGCACTCTCAAGAGTATGTAGCAAAACTTCAACACTCCTTTTGGGCCACCTCACCCCATTTCTTCCTGGGCATACCTAGCTCCATTCCTACACTGCAGCAATGGAATGGTCCCATTCAAAAAACAAACCAAGAAAACAAAACAAAACAAAAACAAGGTCTCACAGTGTGATCCAGGTAACCTTTCACTCATAAGCCTCCTGCTTCACCTTTCCAACTGTTAGAATTACAAACACCCAGCCACATCCCACTACATGTCTCTCTGCATAAAGTAACGTCTTTCAGGTAGTTGGTAGGCAGATATGCACCCTGACAGCCTAGGTAGTTTGACAGGTAGTCTTTAAGATTTGAACTTCTTTCTTAATTTATATGATTCTGTGGGGGTTTCTGAAGTGAGTGAACAGTGAACCATTTTTGTAGATTACCACAGACCACTTACAGAAAGAACCAATCTTTTCCCCATTTCTCTTATTGCCGACTAAAATGTTCTCTTCTTTTTTTAAAGTTACATTCCTTTGTCTGTTTTTTTTCCCATATGACTAAGATATGAGTCTTCATTATGCTAATGAACCTCACAAGAACTTGTCTCTATTTCTTATCCTACATCAAAGTCTGAAAGGAAGCAGGTGCTTAGCAGACCTATAGAGAAGTGGAGAAAAGGGGGTCCAGGGCTGAACACAGAGCAGATTCTGGCCTCCTGCCCATGGGAAAAGGTTTCTTGCTTTCTTCTCGAAAGGGTATGGGCTTCTGAGAAGCAGGCGGCCAGTTGGAAGCCAATAATGCAGATTTGCTGTGAGAAATGCCTGTGAAGGATGAAGAGAGGACAGCAGGAGGAAAATTGAGCCTTAAGGCTGCACTGAGGGCTGGACCCTGAGGGAGAGCCCCAGCACATGGCACATCTCTGAGAAAGTGTGGCACAGGAGAGGAGCTCCGTGATGAGCAGAAACATCCTAGCTCCAGTATCTCACCTATATATGTTCTGTCAATGACAGGAGCAGCAAGTCTTCATCATGAACTCTAAGGCAGACCCAAAGGCGTGGCAGTTGGAGGCTATTAGCAAATAGCACTTGTTACAGCAGACAGTCTTGAAGAGAAATTTGAGCAGTGTGTAACAATGGCTTTCACATAGGGAGAGCTTAAAAGGTGTGATTCTCATGACCAGATTCACTGACAGGTATTGGAAAATGTTCTCTTTGATTAAGAAGAAATCCACAGTAAGGACTCTGGACTGAGAATGGTGACAGTACCATTATCAAAACCCTTTGGCCTTAGGTTTCATTGGCTTTATTTGATCAAGTTCTACTGCAAATAACTTACAGTGTGAGTCAGTGACCTTGATATAAACAATGCTTAGAGGTTACTGGGCTCCAAGCCAGCAAGGCCCTTGACACACATTTACTAAAGATTTGAAAACCTCCGTGTATGAGAAGGCTGTGATATGCTGATCAACCCTGCCCAGAGGTGGAAGGATGAACGCATTCAAAATCGCTGTGGAGCCCTTTCTACACAGAGTGCTACATGGGCTTAGTGGGTAGAGCCTGTTAGACCATCACTTCTGATCCTTAATGACACAGGCATTTTCATTTAGGTTCTTTTCTCTTAGAATTACTTGACTTATTTTCATACAAGAGTAGGGCACTTCCTTGAAACACTTGATGTCAGTCTGCTCCAGATAACTTGTTATTTTAATTCTGAAATGCATGGGAAAACCAGAAAACTACTGTGCAGCAAGATGAAATCTTATGTTGATTTACTCAGTGCTGTTCTTCCATCTGTACAAAACAAGATACTAAGACTGGAAAGCATGAAATTAAGTTTTTTTAAATGTTCTAAAAATTAGATTTCTTTTTCCTTGTTAGGGCACTGGGACGGACGAAGATGCCTTGATTGAAATCTTAACCACCAGGACAAGCAGGCAGATGAAGGAGATCACGCAGGCCTATTATACAGGTGACCTTGTCGTCTTCTTGCCTTTACCACTGATCACATGTGTGAGCCAAGTTGCTTAGCATCTCACCAATCATCAAGCATCTTGAGAAGGCCAGAGACAGGGAAAGAAAGATGCATTCCAACATGGACTGTGCATTTTCAGGGAAAGTTAGATTATGATCTGCCACATAACAATAGTATTAACATCTTGCATTTATAGCAGTAACACAACAAAGGACTTTGCCCTCAGCAATCACGTAATTGAATAAATCATTTTGATCAATATAAGATTCTCAAGGCATTGTATACTTCTACTATAAGTTAAAAACCACTCAGACTCATGATTTTTGGTGTGAGAAATTTGATAAGCCATTTAGAGGAAGTACTGAGTATTTAGGTTCAATATAATTAGCTGAAGTCCTAAAAGTCCGTGTAAAGATTAGAAGTTCCCCACAATGTAAACCTCTACTCAGGAATGGTATGAAAACCTCAGTCACCTCACTTCAGACTCAGCCATAAGCTCAGACGTTCCCAGGTCTCACATACCTCTCACCGATTGCCTAGGAATCCAGTATTTTCTCTGTGCATTCTGTTTCAGTAGCTCACTAAAGGCCACACAGAACTCCAGATAGTTCAGTACTCCCAATGACAATGTTGTTATGAAGGAAGTGAATCATGGCCAGTCAAATGACAAGACACACAGATAGAGGTCCGAGAGGCCCCACTCTAAATCTTCTACCCTACCGGCACATTGACAACAATTACCACCCAGCATGCTCACTTGAACATTGGTAGCCATTGTTGTTTTGTTTCTTTTTTTAATCAGGGTTTGTTACTCAGATGTCATTGGTTGGATCATTGTCCATGTCATTAAGCTCAGTTTATAGCCTGACCTCAGAGTTTGAGTGACTGTGTCAGGTGACTCAAAGTCTCGCCCTCTAATCGAAGAGCTGGTCTTTCTATCCCTACTGTTTTCTGTTCTCAGTTATCTTGTTGGTAAAACTCAGAAGAATGTCATGAATAAGAGACTCAGTTACTGGAGGGAGTGCAAGGATTTGTCCTGAAAACCAAGGACCAAATAGCAACTCAATGCTGTAATATACAAAGCCCCATAAAGTTCTCTAAGTACCTCAATGGAGCCAGGCTTTCTAAACTTATGTAAGAGAAGCCTTGTAAGAGAAGCCCTCGATGGGTATAAGAAAGGTTATTTTGAGAAATTCCAATTAAATGATAGATACCTAAATTATAGGAGACACACACACACACACACACACACACACACACACACACACACACACACTACTGTGTATTCTAACAGAAGAGTTTATTAGAGATAAATGCATCAATTCTTTTAGAAAACAGAAATGGAAGACAGAGGATAATACACCAATACCTCCCAGCTAAGGACTCCATGGCAAAGAAGTTGGGGTTATCTGAAATTGTAAGTTTGGAAAGAGGGTGCTGCCTGTCTGCTATGGGTACCCCAGGAGCACAGAAGAGAAGCTTAAGGAAGAGTTCAGGACCCCATCTGCCTATGTATTCTTTAGAGCCACTGTCAGATGAACCATAATTCAGCTGAGAGCCACAGCTTTTATTGCTTGCCTCTCACAGCAGAATCAGGGCCAGAGCAATGCCTCCAGCACACACACCCACACTAGCAGAGCATCAGGACATCAAACAGAAAGACCACGAGGTCACTGTGCTCTGCTCTGGAGTAGTCTGTTTTAGTTCCTTTGACTAAATGTCATTCTTATTTGGTTTCAGCGTATAAGAAGAGTCTGGGAGATGACATTAGTTCGGAAACATCTGGTGACTTCCGGAAAGCTCTGCTGACTCTGGCAGATGTAAGGTTCTATTTTTTATTATTTGTCTCCCCCAATAATCCACAAGCTCAGAAATCATTTTCAGGGATAGTGAGGTTTCCACTTTTCTTTAAATTGATTTGTTCAAATCACATTTGCATTTTCATCATCAATAAAATGTTTAACCAAGATCACAAAAGCATATATGGTGACAAAACCACCTTAAAAAAATCTTGGTTGGGTCAGATCAATCTATAGATTATAAATGTTTCCAATGAGGGTCACAGTATGCTGTCCTGATGTGCCACCCACATAAATGCAAAATTGCTCAATTTCAGCATGTCCACATCTTCAGAACATGTAGATTTTCTCCTGGATTCCAAAGAATACTTACTTTGTTTAAATTAAATGTGAGGACATAAAAGAACCATTCTCAGATGGGTAGTAAATCCAGAAAAAAGTGTCAGTTTCAGAACCTTGTCCCTGTTACCTTAAAAAATACATTATGTGAGCAAATGAGGCCTCTTCTCACTTTACCTGGAAGGTTCATGATATAGTAGTAAAGATAGGCCCGTGGAGGCACTGTAGCTGGTAATGGCACTTGCCAGGACTCTGGCAACCAGGGTTCAATCCCTGGAAACCACGGAAAAGTGGATAGAAAGAGTCACCTCCATAGAGTCGTCCTCTGACCTCCACATGTACACTGTGTCCCCCCCCCACATGCACATAGTAATAAATTATATGTAATTAGTAGCATATATATAATTTAGCATGCATTTATATATATGCTCAAGTCAGGGCTGGAGAAATGGCTCAGCAGTTAAGAGTATTGACTGCTCCTCAGAGGACCAAGGTTGGAGTCTCAACGCTCACATGCTGGCTCACAATCCCCTGTAATTCCAGTCCCAGGGGAGCCTGTTCCCTCTTCAGGCATGTGTGTATGGGCACAGGCATGCATGTGGTGCCCAAACACACATGTAGGCTAAACACCCATTCACATAAAAAACAATATGGTAAAATCAAGGATGAGACATACTCATGAGACATACTCAGATAAGAGAGGACATGATTGAAGCCCTGTCTCACTGTCTTCTTGCAACTGACTTACACAGCTCCTGATGTGTGTGACAGTCCCCAGTGGCTCAGTGTGATGGCTGAAGCAGCACTTGCCAAAGTGAGGTATTATGCAGCTTGGAGATAATTCATCCTCATTATAGCTTGAGGTGCTTTAACTGCTGAAAACCTTGGGAAGGTTGAATCCACAAACACAAATGTATGAAGGGCAGTGGAAGACTGGGTCTTGACAGTTTGTGTTACAGTGCACATTCCCATGTGTGATGGGGCTCACCCACAGGAAGCAGGAAAACTGGAGCTCCAGGGCTGGTTTGGGATCAAACAGAACTGTACCCTCCCACTGCCTGATGGCTCCCTGTGTCTGTATCTGCACAAGTTCCCTTAAGCTTTAAGGAATGTGTGTTCATGCCTGAGAAATTTCATTTCAGATAGTATTAACCCCTGGAGGTGTTATGAAGGTTAAGAGAGAGTAAGAGAGGTGCTGGGTGCATAGAAAGGGATTAACATGTTAGGGTCTGGATATTAAAAAATGTGTGAACGTACCTGCCATTACAGTTTCATGCAGAATGGTTCCACCCCTCTAGGACGTCCGTCTTCTGTCTTTTTTTTGTTTATATCATCTTTTCCCTCTCCCACAGAAACCATTCACCTTTTTCTGCTTCTTGTATAGTGTAGTTGATGTCATCCCTTATCCTGCCTCTTCAGACCAGCTCCCAACACTTAGCCATATGCTGTTGTCTGTGGCTTTGAGACTCATCTATGATAGCTGTTCTTTAGTTTTGTTTTTGTTTTTTAATGATTGAATTTCCCAAGAATGTAGCAAGCAATAATAAAAGAAAAAATCAAAAGTAGCAGCAAAGAGACAGAATAACGTCATCAAATTGGGCACTCACAACATCTAGCGGAAACTGCTGGAGTATCCCGATTGAGAGAGTAACAAAAGGTAGCCATCAGATTGGAAATTGCAGAGATCCAGCAGAGGTCAAATAGGGAAAGCCAGTTGAAACAGGCAGCCCGAGCTCTGGGATGAGAGTCCTGGGCAGAATACTGTGACCCCTCTGGTGAGGCTTCAAGCAAAAGAACAATCACCAAGCAGCAAATAGAGAGAACATCATCAAACCAGTGCTTATAACCATCTAGCACAGCGGTTGTCAATCTGTGGGTCATGACCCCTTTGGGTGGCATATCACATATTTACATTATGGTTTATAACAGCAACAATATTAGTTATGAAATAGACACAAAATAATTTTATGATAGTATGTCACTACAACATGAGGAACTGTTGAGGGTCGCAATGCTAGGAAGGTTGAGAACCACTGATCTAGCAGAAATGACTGGGGATGCCCTGCTCAGTTTGGCTAGAAAAAGTTTCTGGCAAGAAAGTGTTCTCTACAGTTAGCATCAGCCTTCTCTTTCCCACTGTAGACATTATGATATTATGGGATAGACAATAGTCACCTTGGCTACAATGAGCTTCAGCCTTCTCTCTCCCACTGTAGACATTATGATTTTATGGGATAGACAATAGTCAGCTTGGATGGACATAATTTAGTCTTAATCTATTCTCAAAGACAAGATGCCTCAGCACCCTTACCTGCTTACTGTTTTCCCTCTCCCCATGAAATACTCAGGGGTCAGCCTAACCCAGGACAGGGGCATTTGGGGGACACATGACATAAATATGCTTGAGCTTGGAGTACTACTGCTAACAGAGCCAACTCCTCAGTAACCTCAGACAGCAAATGGTATTTTACCAATATAATGGATTTTGCATATGCCTGTAAGGTTTTTCCACATTTTATTTGTACAAATGCTTGTGTCTATTTTTTCCAAATAATATTTTGTTGCATAAACCGTTTATCAGTTGAAGGGCATCTTGGTTGCTTCCAAGTTTTATCAATTAAAAATAAAACTTCAGTTAAATATTCATAGGCAAGCTTTTGTATGGACATGTGTCCGGCTTCCTTAGATGGATGTGAAGGAGCATAATTTCTGGATCATACTGTAAGAATATACCTAGCAATATAAGAAACTTCTGGATGGTCTCTCAGAGTGCATGTAACATCTTACATCCCACTAGCAATGAAAGTAGATTTCCGAGGGTTTCTGTTCTTTCCCAGTATTTGGTGTGGTCAGTGTTTTGGAGTTTAACCATACTAATAGATCCTTTTTAAATTTATAGTCCTCAGAGATATGATTAAAAAGTCTCTTTCCATTTGCTTCCTTGTTGTCTATACACCTTCTTTGGTGAGCTGTTGCCTTAGATTTTTTCCTCTCTTTTAAAATTGGGTTGTTTGTCATCTTCTTACTGAGCCTCAAAAGCACTTTGTATATTTTGATTATTAGTCTTTTATCAGATATGTTTTGCAAATATTTCCTGTCTGTGGCTTGTCTTTCCATCCTAACACCTTTGAGTTTCCAGAGGAGATTGAAGCCTTGGATGGTGTACTTTGCTACACTGACTGGCTAGTCAATGGCAGGGACAGACCTGCAGCCAAGAATGTCCGATACTTCTCTGTTACATGGTTTGCATGAAAAAAACATCTACCAAGATAAACTGCTGGTTGGAATACTGTGGCCTTTGAAGATTGACCTTGTTTTGTTTTGTTTTGATTTGTTTATCATCCCTGCTGATTTAGGGTAGAAGAGATGAAAGTCTAAAAGTGGATGAACATCTGGCCAAAAAAGATGCACAGGTCAGTATCAGCCAGGAGAATGTCTTTTACATACACCCTTGATGGCCTCTGCAAAAGATGGTACTACCCAGGCCTATCCTCTCCTGTCCTGTGTAAGTCAAAGCCTGGGGACAAGTATCATCCAGCCCAGCGTCTGCCTGCCACTGTGGTTGTGACCATCCACTGCTGCCATCACCAGGTCCTGCATTTGACCTTCAGATCTGAAGTCTGCTAAAAGTGAATGGTGTAGATGATGGATGGTTTTACTGGCCTCTAAAGTCAAATAAAATCCCCACTGTCCCCCTTGCATGCTCTCCAATAGAGAAAGGCTTGTATTTGTGATTACATGCAGGGCTTCTTCCTTTTGTCCAGATCCTCTATAATGCTGGTGAGAACAAATGGGGCACGGATGAAGACAAATTCACCGAGGTCCTGTGTCTGCGGAGCTTCCCTCAGCTGAGACTAAGTATGACCCAAGTCTCTTTTGCTCTATGTTTTTGCAGTTTATGTAGAAACCTCTTAGGAAACCAAATGGAGATGTTGCATTTTAACTCAAGGCAGTACTGACATTCTCTTTCGTTTTACCCTGAAGACTGAGTAGGCTACCTGCCTTGTGAGTAGCAAGCCATAGATGAGAATGGAGAAGAGAGAGGCAACCCTTAGATGAGAATGGAGAAGAAAGACAATCCCGCTGAGAGCGGGAAGACTGGTTGCTGTGGGTGGAGGAGCTGATTACCAAGCTTCTACCCCATTTGTCCTCGGTCCACCACCTTCTGGAAAAGCCAGGCATTGAAAGGGAGTTTTGTTGGTTGACTGATGGTGACCAAAGGGGGTTTTCTGGATGGATTAATGGTAATAACATTGGCTTCTCTCTGACATAAAGGGAAATGAGAGTGGGGGGAGGACCAGCTCTTCTTCCCAGACCAATTACTGGGTCCCACCCTTCCTCTCACTCATGTGTCTCTCTGAGCTGTTCTAGAAGCACAGAGCTCTATTTAGCATGACCATATTACAGCAATGGCTTCCAGGTGCCACTTGAGAGAACAGCAGGATGCAGGACAAACCTGATGCTGAGCTGGGAAAACAGAAGATTCCTGCTGGGACTTTTAATTGTGAAATTACATTTCTTTAACTTGGACAGTGACAGTGACTTTTGGTGCAATATTATAGTGGGTTTACTAAAGTCTTGGTTTGACCCCTATATTGCAAGTTTTCTTTTTTTCTTTTCAAAGTGTGTTGGAGATTCACTTTTAATTCAAGCAGAGACAGGAGGATATCTGTAAGTTCCAGGCCAGTTAGGGAGTAACTACATGAGTTACTCCAGCTACATGAGTAAGACTCCCATCTCAAAACAAAAAGGCAGCAACAAAAACCTTAAACCTTGTTGGAAAAAAATGCCCTTGCCCTAAGTCTTCCTGAACATTTGATGATGCATGTTCAAGTTTTACTTAAGAAAAATACTGATCAAAAAATTCTTCTGGTAGGTGTGAAGTGGGCCATATTGCTTTGAGAATGATTTTCTCAGCAAAAGAAATCCAAACCTTCCCAGACAGGGCTTGTAAGGTGACTTCTCAGGTAAAGGCATTTGCCACCATAAAGGCACTTGCCATCAAGCCTAACCACTTGAGTCTGGTCCCAGGAACCTATGTATTGAAAGGAGAAATTCAGCTCCTAAAAGTTGTTCTCTGATGGCCACACATGCACACACACACACACACACACACACACACACACACACACACACACACACTATACATAAAATTAATATTAAGAATGTTTTAAGGTATTTTCCTATTTAACATTCTGCAGCATGCAAAGCACATCTGACCACTGGCCACAGCATTGATTCCTGATGCTGCTATAATTTTAAAATAGATAAGTTATTTGTCACCGACCATTTCAAGCTATTTTAACTGCTTCAAGCTGGTGGGGAAGGGAGCTCAGTCTTCATTGTGCTCACCTTTTGATGGCCGAGGTTCTGAGCTTGCTGGTTGATCTGCTACATCTTGCATTTTAAAATGTGAAATATATTCAAGTGTGGCCCTCTGGGATGCTTTAAATATTTTTATGGTGCTACTTTTTAGCATTTGATGAGTACAGAAATATTAGCCAGAAGGACATTGAGGACAGCATTAAAGGAGAGTTATCTGGGCACTTTGAAGACCTGCTGCTGGCTATAGGTAAGCTCTTGAGTGTCAATAAATGCAACAATTTCTCCTTCTTTGAAGTCAGTATCAAGGTGAGCTAATTTTAAGAATCCTGACTGATCCATATGTGTGCTCTACAGCCCCTAGCAGTGCATGATACAAATAGCTATCTCAACAATATTGTTAAACAATGCATAGAGAAGTTATGTACTTACTTCTTATCTTGTCCTTTAAGTCTGTACTTGGCTTGTAGTTGTGTTTAGATTATAACCTCTTTGAAAATTGAATATTACATTCCACTTGCATTTTTATTGAGCCCTTGTTGAAATTGAGCCCTAATCAATTTGGTATTCCCCTGTATTGGTTATCTCTGGAAGACGTCAATTTCTTCCCAAACTGGTGCAAGGTTAGAACTATAGATCTCTTCCTCTCTGGTTGAGTAATCAGGTGGGATTCAGGCCAAATCCATTCCCATATAGACACATACATTAATGAGTGGTCAGGAGTGCTGTTACATAGGCAGGGAGGTCTCACTCATTGACTGAGAGAGCGCCTCAAAAGAAAGGTGAGATTAAAGGAGGAGGCATCACTCAAAGATAGGATTCTTGACCTGTAACTGGAGTTTTCTTTCTAGTCTAGTCCCACCTAGCCCACAGCAGCTGTAGTCTCAAATAAACACATGGATGATATATTAATTATAAAACTGTTGGCCAATGGCTAGCTTATTTGCTAGCTCTGTCTTAATTATTAACCCATTTCTATTAATCTAAGTATTTCCAAGTGGTCTTATCTTACCAGAGAAGGGTCAGGACATGTTACTCCTTCCTGGGCTACATGGCATCTCTCATGGCACCTCTCTGCCTCTCTTTAAGCATTTTCCTTGTCTCCTAGCCCTGTCTATCTTCCTGCCTCTATTGGCCAAACAGTGTTTTATTCATCAACCAATAAGAGAAACATATATACAGAAGAACATCCCCCATCACTGACCTTTTTAGTGAAGAGTCAAAAGACATGTTAACTTTCTCCCTCCATCTTTCTCTTTCTCTCTCTGTGTCTGTCTCTCTCACACATATGGGGCAAGATGGTTGTCTAGGATACTTCTATTTAGGGACACTATAGAGCCAACTGCAGAATTCCCATTGGGGAATGCCTAGACTCTGAACACCTTGTCATCTTGCCAGCAGGAAGTCATTCTTAACACCCATTGTAGTAATTCACAGCACCTGTGGTAAGATCATGATAGCTGATTCCTAAGGGTGACTTCTCCACTGGTTCCTGGGATTTGTCCTCCAAAAGCTAGTTCCCACCTATGAAGAGTGACTCCTAATTAAGATGCCTTAACTTTTCTTTTTAAGCAACTTCTGTATGCTGGATATCATGTTAAGCAACTCACAAATGTCAACTCATTTAAATTTTTGACAATCCTTCAAAGCAGGTTCATCCCCTTAGTGACACAGTAAACTTGGGACTCAGATAGATTGACTTCCTTCAACTATGGACAGTCGAGTTTGTGAGATGAGCTGATAAAGAGATATGGTCTTCATTTTAATGCTTGTGCAATATTTGGGCAAGCCAGAACTTTGGAGCTTATAGCAAGTTATAATTTGGTCAAGACAATGAAGTGGGAAGGAAATAGGCAATTGTGAACAGCGGTGATGGTTGTAATCGAAGTGTCTCCTCCAGTCTCCCTTCTGATGATGCTGGGTGCTAAAGTCAGTCACTTCCCTTATTTTCAGATACAAAGAGCAGACATTATACTTAAGAAAATAAAGAAAAGGCCAGCTAAAGGAAAGGAAGGACTATGACGAGAAGGGGTGGATATGTGGGGAGGTAATTGAAAGCTTAACAAGACAAAAGAAATAATGGTTTTAGTCAAATTCTTAAAGCCTAATACTTGTTGAAGAAAATTTAGGTAGTACAAATGCAAATGGTTGATCTCTTGTCAGACAACAACACATATAAAGTTTTCCTTAAGTCATCTATAGATACTGTATTAGTTACCTTTCTGTTGCTGTGAAAAAAATACCATCACCAAGGCAACTTAGCAATGAAGGGAAGGGTTTATTTGGGCTTATGGTTCTAGAGGGATAAGAATCCATAATGGAAGGGACAGCATGGCAGCAGGAACAGGAAGTTCAGAGCTCACATCTTGAACTGCAACCAGGAAGCAGAGAGCCTGAACTAGAAGTAATTTAAGGAATTCATCTCTCAAAGCCACCCTCAGTGATATAGTTCCTCTAGCAAGACCACACCTCCTAAACCACCCCAAACAGTGCCATCAGCCGGGAATCAAGTGTTCAAATCTCAGGGACTGTAGAAGATATTTATCATTTAAATCATCACATACAGCAAGGCTTTAGCTTTCCTTAAGAGTATGTAAGTACCATAAGGAAAATCAAGACTTTTTCTGAACCCCAGGCTTCATTATGAAGTCCATTCACTCACTTTTGGTCAGATACCTGCCTGCACAGATTTAAGAGCATGAAAACAATTGTGCTGTGTGAATAGGTTTGTTCTCTATACGCTTTGCTCTTCCTATATATTTGTACTTTATCTCAAGGAAAATTGATTTACCTATGTTTTGTGAGTATTCTCTTTCTGGTTTTATTTCTGTTTTCCTTGCCATTTCATTTCGGAGTAAATATTTGGAAGGCTGTAATATATTCTAGATTTTAAACTTAAGTTGTATGTAGCTGTTCCAACACAGTCAATCTCACTAGCCTATATCTCCTGGTCCATTCATGTTAAAGGAAACTCCCTCCATGAGGAGATTGGATTCAATGCCCTTTTTTATGCAGTAAGTTATTTGTAGCCACATCTCCATAGTCATTGATAGCACAAGCTATTCATTGGTAGCCAAAGACATTGAAGCCCAGGTAATTATGACAATAGTGTCTGAGATGTGGAGTTGAGTCAGACATGTGGGAGTGTCTTTGGCAGATAATTTTGTTTTTTCCATGGCTGAACACAATTCCCATCCTAAAGTTCTGTGCAAATATGACATTGTGAGGCTTTGAAATCCAAGATTAGCAGCTTTTCTCTCATTCTAAATAAAAGTCGGTACTGAGATTGCCTCAGTTCCTATTAAGTGAGACTAATCATTACTTTACTTTTTGTTTAATAATAAACAGTTCATTGTACGAGGAACACCCCAGCTTTTTTAGCGGCAAGACTTCACCAAGCTTTGAAGGTTGGTCTCAAATTTTCGTATTGTACTCGTAGATAGCATCCCTCATGGAGAAAAAAAATACTGTTTAATGCTGATGAAATGTCATATTGCGTTTCCACTTCAGTGAGTTTCTTTTTGTAGCTAATTTTCTACTAATTTGCTTCAAAGTATAATAATAAATGCACCAGTCAGGGTAGAGGAATCTCGTAAAGTGTTAGCTAAGTCATTTCCTCCACTTCATTTGTGTAGCAAGTAGAACTTGTAGAATGCTAAACCTCAGAAAGACTCTAAAATGCGCAGCCTCTCGAGTGACCTTACTCCAGATGAGCCCAGCTGAGTCAGAAACCTGAGCAGGATACTGATGACTCAAGTCCTTTTAATGTCTTCATCCCCTACAGCTGAGTTTAGCTTAGAGTAAATGTTTCCTTGGTTCTTTAGTGGGCATTTCCCGTGGCTGTAAAAATAATGTCCGACTGAACACCCCCTTTTCCTCCCCTCATGCCACCGCCAGTCCAGGCTCCCGTGTCCAGTGACCTCACAGACTGTACCTACCAAAACTGGCCTTGCTCAGTTCTGGAAATCAGACACGCCCTCCCCAGCTTTCTTCCTTCTGCCTCAGCCACCTCCTGCTTCCTGCCATTCACTGCTTACCAAAGCTGTTCCTCTATTGGCATCTCTGTGTTTGTCTTCCGTGTCTGTAGTGTTCCTCCACCTGAGATGTGCCTGGCTTTTTCTGGTCTCTTCAAGTCTCAGCTCAAATGTCTCCTCTTGAAATAACCCTCCCTCAATGATGTGGTCAACTGGCTCTCTTTCCATCACTCCACATTCTATTTCCCTGTGTTTTTTTCCTTACTCTTACTAATACTTATTAAAGTAATTAGATAGTTTGCTATCTCCCCCTTGGTAGAAAATAAACTCCATGGGGCCAGAATCCATTTATGACTATGTGCCTGGTACACAGTAGATGTTTAATTGGCAATGGTTGGACACATCAATAAAAAGAGCTAGTGTTCATATAACAGCTACCTTGGACTATTTTATGCTCTTTCCCCATTGTCCACTCATCTGCAAACTGCTCTCATGTCTCCCTGTTTTCTCCATCTCTGGTCGTTGCTCCAGCCGAGCTCACAGCCATTTCTTTGCTTTACTGTAGCAACCCCAACTGGGTGTGTCTCAGAGTGTCTCCTCTTACTCCCTTGTACTCATTCTGGTTCTCCACTGGAATCTATACTTCATATTGCAAGTGGACTGCCTTGAAAGCAACCACAAATAAGATCTAATGCATTCTAAGTTTAAAATATAGCAACAGTTCTACACATGTGGGATACAGTTAGATGTTTATTTCATTGTTAACAAGGTCTAGATTAACCTGGACCTTGTTAACAAGGTCCAGATGCATTATAATTGCTTTTCATTTAATAGTTCTATTAGTTCATAGAGAATTTTGTACATGTTGTAATCATACGCACCTTCCAACACCCACATCTTCCCTTTCCAGCCAACTTGGTGTGCTTTTTTTTTCCTGATCAAGGATAGTTTGAGCTGCCCACATATTCTTGAATGAAGCGTGGTCAACTTAGCAGGGGCTACACTTTTAGAGGAAACAGCCCCTGCCTCTCTCAGCTGCTAACAGTTACCAATAGGTCAACAGCTAGGGGTGGAATTTTGTGCCCAATTCCCCTTCATGCTGGGATTTGAGTCAGACTCATTTTCTTGTTTTCTAGCCTGTATCCTTCATAGCATTGGAGGATGCTAATTGGGGATATCTCCTCTGTTCTTCATAGCATGGCTATGCTCACTACATGGGCTCAATACACATTTCTCTAGTAAATGAATGGTGGAGTTTGGTGCTTCATGAGTTAAGAGGAGTTGCTGGGGTTGACTATTGTGTGCACTATTACCTGTCTTATAACTGAAAATTTGCGTGCGGTCATGTACCCAGTGAGCTTCTCGTGGCCCTTTTGTCCCAGGGTGCTGGAACAGATGAATTCACTCTCAACAGAATAATGGTTTCCAGATCAGAGACTGACCTCCTGGACATCCGGCATGAGTTCAAGAAGCATTATGGCTACTCTCTGCACTCAGCCATTCAGGTAAGTCTGCTCTGGAAGTAGCAAGACATGATTTCCCCTTCTCTGCTCACAATCTTTCTTTCGAAGGTCTTAAAACATAGCTAGACCTGATTAGACTTCTCTCTTCCTCATCATTGTGTTTTCTGAGTTTAAAATAGTTACACCAAAGCATCCCTTGAAGGCTGGGACTGGAGATTGGAGAGATGACTCAGTAGTTAAGACACTCTTTACTCTTGCAGAGGACCTGGATTTGGTCCCTAGCCCTACATGGCAACCATCCACAACTCCAGTTCCAGAGGATCTGACACCCTTTCCTGGCTTCTGTGGGCCCTGCATGCACATGTTTTGTTTCACCTTAGCCCCTAGATGACACACAAAAGTCTTTGATAGTTAAGAGAATTAATCCAGACTGGTTCTCTGAGTCAGTTTGGGTACTGAGGTTGAGTGAGACCATTCAACCAATCTAGTCACTCAGTACCACACTGACTAGGTATACAGGCAGAGTCTGAGGCTAGCTCCACACGGGCCCCACATGCTGAATGACTCCTTTACCTCTGAGTTCTTAGATACTCTACAAACTTTCTCAGGAATCAGCTTTGGAGACCCAGACTGGTACCTGCTGAGAACCATTGCCCAGTGAGGCCAGGACAAAGGGGATAGTAACCAGTAGCTCGCAGGAAGTGTAGAGAGGCCAGCTGCAGGATTATTTAGACTGTACAGATACTTACAGATTCTTGGCAGGATCTATCTCTCCAGCCCCGAGGACTCTGAAACCCTGATCTCTGAGGAATGTGATACCTAGCCATGACAATAGGGATTGCCTGGTCTAGGCTACATTCCTGTGTCACATTGAGTAGTTGGAGTCTTTCCTCCTACCCACAATGCAGCCCTACCCATGATAGACACCGTTAACCAGCCACAAATTTGGGCCTGGGTATCTCTAAGCACCTTGGGAGCATTCCAGCCTTGGAGCCCACAAATGATTTTTTTTTTTAACAAATGAATGAATGTGTTTATTCACTTCAACCAGTCAGCTAGATTTACTCACCAAATTCCTTTGTGCTTTTAAAACTAGCGCCTTTGTTTTCATACTAAACTTTGACAGAGAAAGATGCATGGGTAAGTTGAAATTATGACTAATCCAAAAGAGCAACAGGCTCTTCCTAGGGCTTAGCATGGATTTCATCAGCAGCCCACACTCAATTCTATTTGAATTGATCCTGACACATTACAATAGTTTCAATCATCATAGGAAGACTCAATAACGTTAACCACATTGTACTTGCCAAGGCAGAAAAGCAGACTCATACATTTTCGAACAATTGTCAGTAACAAGGTTGACTCACCAGGGGCGCTTTTGCTTCACCCTCAGTCAACCAGAAAATTTGATTAAGCTGTGGCTTTCCATCCCCCAGTGGTCTGGGTAATGGAGAGTTATTGTATTAGGAAACATTTAAACTATTTGTAGTTTGATAAAAAGGAAAATCCATCACAGAAGAGTCCAGTTTGTGATGTGAACACAGATTCCTTTCTCTCTACCTCCTACACACAGGGTCAGGTAATCTCATTCACATTTTCCTGATCAGCCAGCCAGACCTTTAAAGTTGGTCGTTTCTGAGACTCAGGAGTTAGAATTCAGTGTTGTGTCCATCCCAGTCTTTGATGCTGTCATCTGCACCAGGCTTTTTCTTTTGGGCCACCGTCTAGCTCCCAAATCATGACACAGAGACTTATTATTAGTTTCGAATACTGGGCCTTAGCTTAGGCACATTTCTGGCTAGCTCTTTTAATTTAAATTAACCTGTTTTTCTTTACCTTTTGCCTCAGACTTTTTACCTTTCTTACTTCTGTATGTCTTACTTTCACTGCTTCTTGTGTCTGCTGGCTGGCAGCTGCCTGGCTTCTTGCCCTCTCTGTGCCCCTCATTCTCTCCTCCTTCTTCTCCTCTTTCTTCCAGCCTAGATTTCTCTTCCTATTTATTCTCTCTGCCTGCCAGCCCCACCTATACTTTCTCCAGCCTAGCTATTGGCTGTTCAGATTTTTATTAGACAAATCAGGTGCCTTAGGCAGGCAAGATGAAACAGCAACCTATCTTTACATAATCATACATCCCTACATCATTAAACAAATACAGAATAAACAAAAGTAACACACCTTTACACAGTTAAAGCAATATTCTGCATCATAAACAAATATAACACATCTTCTCCCAGTTAAAATAATATTCCACAACAGCCATCCTTTCCTTTTTCTGGTTATTCAGACATTGAACTGCTTGTTGAGCCCTCTCGTGGGCAATGACTGATGAGGAGGAGAAGGAAGGGAAAAGCAGAGGTGAAAATACGGTCCAGGTGTGATGACACCTGACACCCCTTGTTAGGGAATGGCTGAGGGAGGAAGATTTCTGGTGTGACACCAGCCTGTACTACATAATGAGGCCCTGTCTAAAAAAGATATTAATGGAAATTTAGATGAGACTACATTGTTGTTAGACTTTCCTGGTCAGGAATAAAAAGTGCTCTATAAGAGCAATATAGTGACTACCCTAAGTCATCTCATAGTCTATAATATAGACTCCATATGAAGGTTTAAAGTAGACATTAGCATATATGGTAATTGGAACAACATACTCCAGCCAAGTACTGGATAAGCAGTATGGAGGATAGAATACAGGACTTGACAGAAAAGACATTTTGGGGATGGACTATCTCTCAGAGCAATGGGTCTGAGTCTGCCTATCTAATCAACAACAGGAACTGGGTGCCTCCTCCAGAATTCTGGTTTAAGATGCATCTTAAAAACAGACTCCTGGTAAGGGGCAGAAGGAAAAAGGAATCTCAAGTCAAATGCTTAACTAGAAGAATCTACTTTAGGGAATTCTCAGGCATAAAATAGTTAAATGAGTTCACCCAGGTTCCAATGTTGGGGAATTTATGCCATATTCATCTAATCACATCTAATCAAAGTGAATGTTATGTGCCAGACTCAGGGCTAAAGTTATAAGGGGAAAGAATTTTTTGTTCCTATGAAATTACAAATACATATAAAAATCACTGCTTTAATGTGAGGGTGAGAGACATGGTGGTAAGAGATCATGTAACAGGAGGACTTGACTGACAGGAGTGACTTCTAGGGGGGAATGATGATTCTGATCTGCAAAGTGAGCCAGCATTAGCAAGCAGAGGGTTGTGCCTGTAGGCAGCTAGTTAAACATCCTAAAGAGGGAGCCACAAAAGGAAAGGTCTTGGGGCAGAAGAAACAGTGAAAACAGGGCAGAGGGGCTAGGCCTTGCAGGAATTCTCAGCAACATTTAAATAGTCCTATCATTAGCACATGGGTTTGTGAAGTCAATGAAAAAGATGCTGGTGACTGTGAAGAATGACTTAAACAGAGACTAGGAGAAATGTGGGGTGATGAGTTAGGTGGTAGGGACACAGCCACACTGGAGTACATGTGAGTGAGATGGTAGTCATGCAAAGAAGACAGAAGCAGAGGCTCAAGAGGTACTAGTACTTGGTGTGAGAAGTGAGGAAAAACATGTCAAGGATGACTTGCAGGATTCTACCTTGGAAAAGAGCAAGAAGTGCCATTTCTTATGAGAGAGTCAGGTCTTAGGGTATCTTTCTTTGGGGCAATGTGATGAAGTTCCTGATCTTGCATGTCTTGAGTTTGGGATGTGTTAAGGAACCAGTACTTGGAGAGGTCAGTGAAACTGTTGCTACTGTGGGTACATTGTGAGAGTCAGTGTTCTGGGTACCTTCTTTTGCTGCTATAAATACCCTGAGGAATATAACTTCAAGAGTCAGTCATAGTAGAACTTGCCTTTAATTCCAACACTCAGGAGGCAGAGGCAAGAAAATCTCTATGAGTTTGAGGCAAGCCTTGTCTACATAGCAAGTTCCAGGCCACCAAGAGCTACACAGTGAGAACTACAAATAAATAAATAAATAAATAAATAAATAAATAAATAAATAAATAAGACATCCTAAGGGATAAAGAGTTCACTTTTGGCTTACAGTTTAATCCATCATGGTGTGGAAGACATGGTAGCAAGAGCAGGAAGCTGGCTGGTCGTAGTCATCTGCATTCAGAAGGCAGAAAGAGAATAGTAAAGTGGGGCCATGGTGGGAAAAAAAACCCCAAAACCTAAAAGCCCACCCCCAGTGACATACTTCCTCCAGCAAGGCTCTACTTCCTGAAGATCCTATAACTTTTCTAAGCAGTGCCACCTGCTGGGCACCAGGTGTTCAAACACAGGAGCCTATGGAGGACATTCCCAATTCAAACTGCCACAGTCATGTTTCTGAATAAGGATGACAGTTCCATAGAGAGAAAATAGGAAGTGAGGAAGAGAAAACTTAGAGTTGAGCTTTACCCATCACTACTACATAATGGGTGTGTAGCAGACAAGATGAAGGTGGGGATGCCTGAGGGGAGTATCGTGAAACTCAATAAAATACAGATCGCAATGAAGTCAGAGCAAGTTTGCTGAGCAGATGTTTAATAGGAAAGTACTCATGCAATGGAGTCAGTCCCGTACAACCATGTGGACCAGGGAACAGAGAGTGTTGGTGGTCTTCGTTACCTGCGCCAGCCTCCAAGTGGGTGTGGCCAACATTTCCCCTATATGGGAGGGAGAACCTTCAGGCTGAGTGATAAAACAGAAGTCAAGAGAAAAGCATGTTCCAGGAGAGTGAAAAAAGAAGGTGCTGTATCCTGATGCTATATCCTACTGACAGAATGTAAGCTAAGGGCCAGGAAATGTTTGTACTGTAGAGGGGTAGGATGGTTGTTGGGTATGATTTACAAAACAGTAAGAATTAATGGCTTAGGAACTTAGATTGATAAATTTATAGTCACACCAATGGCAAAAAGATGAGAGTTTAGACTGTATGTGTAGTAACCTGAAAAGAAACTGTTATAAAGGAGCAATTGTCTGTATGGATAAAATGTGGGGGTAAAATGTGGGAAGAAGCCGGGAGAGAGAACCATGGAGTGTGTTACCAGCAGTCAGCAGAATATTTTGTTCCTTTCTTAAGAGGAATATTTTGGGGGCAGAGATGATTGAGACGGGCTCTCTCATGTAGTCCAGGCTGGCCCTAAACTGGATATGTAGCCACAAGTAATTTTAAATTCCTGATGCTCTTGCCTCTGCCTGCAACATCCTGGGATTACAGGCATAGGCTACCAAACCTGACTATTTGAGACAGGGTTTCTCTATGTGGTCCTGGCTGTCCTGGAACTCTATGTAGACCAGGCTGGCCCTGAACTCACAAAGATTCATGTGCCCCTGCCCCTGCCCCTGCCTCTGCCTCTGGAGTGATGGGATTAAAGGTGTGAGCCACTACAACTGGTTCTATATCTTACTCTTAAGAACAATAAATAGGTATAACTCGGAAGCTACAAATGATGCACAAAGTTTTTTCTTTTTAACCTAGTAAAACATTTTGTGAAACAGCATTTCTAAAATGATATTTAGACTATTTAGCAGGGTGATGAGGCAAGAAATAGGACAAATGTTTGTTTCATCCCTATAGCAAATAACAGCCCTGTTCTAAGCCTCTTGGGTATCTTTTTGTGTGTGTGTGTGTGTGTGTGTGTGTGTGTGTGTGTGTGTTTGGGCAACTTGTGGAAGTGGTTCTCTCCTTACACTGTGTGGATTCTGGGGATCAAACTCAGATGGCCAAGCATGTCCCTTTACCTGGTGAGCCATTGCATAGTGGGACATCTTTTCTTGACCAGTCAAACCCCAACCATTGTGTAAAGCTCTGCTCAGAGCAACTGGAAGCCCTCTTGAAATACAAAACTAGAGTATGGCTGACTGCCAACAGTTTGAAAAAAGGTTGCATGTGGCAAAGCAAGACAGGCAAGCCAAGAGAGGGAAGAAGTAATTCCATCATCCGCAATAGCAGTAGAATGTGTACCGACTCTGTTGTGTCCCTGCTATGACACTATGCCCACCTTCTCCACTCAGTGACTTTTCCTCATTACTCACTTGTCCCTTACTCTAATATCTACCTGAGCTACACCTTTCCAAATATAAATTTCAGTGATAAGAAGTGGTCAAAGACCAGGTCACTCAAATAAAATAGAAACAAATATTGCTTTTAGGCAATCCAGGTAAAGCACTGAGTTTTGCCCCTGGTGCTGTCTTTTGCAGAGAGAGTGTGGCCACTGTGCACTAACCCTTCAGCTGCCATGGTTGTCTTTTCTCTACCAGAACATTTCTCTGCTGGTTTAGAGGTTGCTAAGCCTCCTCTCAGAGCTGTAGCTCATCTCAACAGTGCAAAGTGGAGTTGTTGTGTGATAAAACTTTTCTTTGAGAGACACAACACGTGTCTTCTAGCTCCAGATAGGGATCCCATGACAGTCCAAGGTCTAACTCGAATCAGTGAGCTTTACTGGGGATACTTACGGGCTCAGAAATGACTCAAAGACAGCTGTAGCCAGGCCCACTCCAGCATGACAGCTCTCAAAAACTGGGAACCTCGTGCACTCTGCACAGCCTGCAGGCAGCCCAACAAGTTGGAGTGTGTCCTTTCCAAGTGACTCTGGTCTAAACCTTTCAGGCAGCACAGCAGGTCATTGCTTCTCCCAAGCAGATGATCTGGTCTCATAGTCTTTGCAGCTTGGCTTGTCTGCTGGGAGGGACTCTTACATTTTTATTGCTTACCCTGGCAGGGAGGGGCCCAATGAATCCGTTCAGTTTCAGGGACTTCCTAAAGTTATTTTAAGATGTTTATCTGCCAGATGGAATGTTTGAATCTCTGAGGAAACTGTTATACAACAGGAATGAGGGGCCAGACTCTCTGATTTGAGGGCACCTTTCTTACCCTCTGTATTTCTCACTTAACTATTACAAGGAGATAAGGAAAGTTCATACTCTGCTGCATAGAATTTTTTATAAAGGTTGCAATAGTTAATACAAAATAAACTTTTCCTGTAAACTTTTTGTATTGTAAATTCAACTCAGGGCTGTATGCATGTTAAGCACACTATAGACCTCTGAGCAACACCTCCAGTTCCCCAAGGTAATGTTTGAGTTATAAATAGGAGTTCCAGATTAACATTCATTATTATTAAACTACAGTTTTTAGATGCTGTGTTAGCACCTAATGTGTAATATCACGTAATTGTTGAAATCTTGTTTTTTTTACAGTCCTAGTTGAAATTCTGGGTGATTTGAATATTGTATATTGCAGAGAACATGCTTGGTAGGAGTGTAACTTCACTCAAGTATAAAAAAATGCTGGCACTGAAGTTGTGCTATACTGAACAGGGCAGCTCTGGGGTCTCCTGCCCAAGTGACTTCCCTAACACTGTGGGGTCAGATTCACCTCCAATTCCCTCATTATTTATGGTATGTTCTTCTCTGCTTTTCCTGTCCTTTACAGTCAGATACTTCTGGAGATTACAGACTCGTGCTCTTGAAGATCTGTGGAGGAGATGACTGAAGAAGATGCTCTCAAAGGCTACTGCCCTGACGACAGGTCTCGGCAACAGCAAAAGCTCTGCTTACAGCTTTCCTACAGTGTCCCAAAGTGCAGACAAATGCAAGACCGCAACCTGTCTGCCTGCTAAGAATTGTCATTGTTCAGTGCAAGGGCAAAAGCAAACATGATTTTATAGTAGAGCATCTCATTCATAATGTAGAGGTTTATAAGGGAAATTCAATCTACACTTAAAGACCTACTGATCATTTCCTACTTTGCTTAGGAAGTTGGAATGAGTGTAGTCTATATCAGGATACTAAAAATGGTTGCTATAATTTGTGTGATTGCTTTCAGCATCTGCCAATACTGTGTGTTGCCTGGCGCCGACAACTATCTTAAAATACATTTGTTGTAAATGCTGTTGCTGCTTTATTAATTATTTTATTGGTGTAGTCTAAAAAAATAATAGTGAAATGGCATGGAGGTACACACCTACAACCCCAACACTCAGAGGGTGGAGGCAGAGGGATGAATAATTTGGGATCATCCTTGTGAAGTTGCAGTACATACAAAGAAGTCCATTGACAACTGAGTGTGTTTGAGGTTCAAGGCTCAGGCAAGGAGAATGGTATCCTGTGGATTTTTGTCAGATAAATGATGTAATAATATTGGGCTAGATGCTGGCAGGAAAAAAAAAAGGTTTCTGGCAGATGCTTCCACCATTCCTCAGGAACCTGTGAAATAGGTTTCTGTCTGCCAGCAAGAGCCACCTCCATATCTCCCCTTCCCCTGGTGGATGAGGCATCTGGGTCCCTGTAGCCAAGGCTCACCTCCAGGCTGCTACAGTTCACAGAATTCCCTCTCCTGCCCTGCAGCTACTGTGTTTTTTTGTTTGTTTTGTTTTGTAGTTGTTTTGTTTTTTTACCTATTAGATTTACCCTACTCCCATTCTTCTCTCTGCTCCAGAGACAGGTAGCTATGGCATATGACAGTCTGTGCCAGAGACATAGTCATGGCTGCTTTGGAATTTCCCTCTCTCTCTCTCTCTCTCTCTCTCTCTCTCTCTCTTTCTCTTTCTCTTCTCTCTCCTTTTTTTATTTTCAAGACAGGGTTTCTCTGTATTGCTTTGGAGGTTGTCCTGGAACTTGCTCTGTAGACCAGGTTGACCTTGAACTCAGAGATCCATCGCCTGTGACACCCCAGTGCTGGGATTAAAGGCATGCACCACCAACGCCTGGCCTATCTCTTATATCTATAATAAAACCTTGCTTCCCACCCATGGATCAGTCAGTCTGTCAACTTTTCTGTGTCTTTGCTTAAGCCCCTGGATTTCCACACCAGATGTTGAAAGGACCAGACCTTCACCCAGCTTCCTGCTTTAGCAGCCATAACAGGCTGCAGAAAATACCCAGCAAGATGTAGGCCTCTGACGTAGCACATGTTGCTGAGTTTCCGGTCTTCTGACCTTGCTGGACCTGCCCTAGTCACTAAGAGGTCAGATATCCTCCATGTGGCAAGGAGCCAATCAGAAATTAGCTGGCAGGCTCTGGTTGTGCTTTAATGGGCTCTGGATGTGCTTTATGGTAACAGTGGCTTAACAGTGATAGGCAGAGCATAGCAACTACCTTGGAAGGGCCTACAGGCCATAGCAACCAGTTGACCAATCAACACAGGACAGGTTGTCCAAACCTGGAAGTGCACCAATCCTGAGTCTGTTGCGGACCCCTAAACACTCCCCTTACTCTATCCAATAAATTCCCTGCCTCCCTGTCCCTCTGGGTCCTTCTCACCCCACCCGCTGTGTCAGAGGGAGGGAAGAACCAAGTTAATACAGTTAACTCATTAAATAATACTCTTTGCTTTTGCATTGGAATGGGTCTCTTGGTGATTTTGGGGTTCAGAATTTGGGCACAATGATGTAAGTGAGGCTGCAGTAAAAAAAAAAAAATCACTGAACTAGCTATTCCATGAATGGGGAGAAGGTTATATTTTAAGTAAGAGAGAACAGCCAGAGGCATTTGTATGAGTCCAGATCAGACAGAGAAAGAAGCAGACCAGCCATGGCCAAGTCTAGAGGAGTGGGCATGGGAAAATCGCAGGTTACAAGGAGCACAAGTAGCTGGGGGAGGGGAGGCTGTGAGCTGAAGCAGCCTGGGTGTTTAGGGTAGAGAAGGAGGTAGAAGGGCTGGGATGTTAGTGTGGGCTTTGAAATGCATAACATAGGCTTTGGTATTTATATGCCAAGGAAAGTGGCAGGTTCCTGAAGAATGCTTGGACTTTATATCCACAAGATTGTTTTATAGTGAAATGAAGTATTTTAAGAGGTATTCATGGGGATGGAGAGATGGTTTATCAGTTAAGAGTGCTTCTTGCTCTCCCAGTTAACCTGAATTCAGTTCCCAGCAACCACGTTAAACAGCTCACCACCACCTGTAATCCCAGATCAAGAAGGTTACAGGGTATCTAACCTCCTAGGGCACCCGAATTCATGTGAACACTGCCCCACACATACACATAACTAAAAATAATAAAAATAAAAATTAATACTAAAAATAAATCTTGAAGAATAAAAAAAAAAAAAGGTGTTCCATAGAACATAACACTCTGAAAATGTTATTTTAAGCCATGGTCAGTGGTTCATCCCTGCACTTATAGCAACTAAATTTAACTTGTTAGACCCCCGGAAAACTCAGACCTCTGAGGTCTCAGCCCAGGACCTCGGTCACCCCAGTCACCAGGCAGATTCAAAAGCTTGTTGCAAACTGCATGAGGCTTTATTGTTTAATGAGCTAACCCCATGTTAGCTTGGGTCTTTCACCCACCCGCCATGGTAGATGGCTAACAAAGAG